TCTCTAAAACAAAATTTAATCAAAGTACACTACATAAAAAAATTTACAGAATTTTATATATCTTGAATTAATTAATTAAATAATATATATTTAATCTATTAATTCAATAATATATATTGAATCTTAAATAACTGATACTGTAAAATAAATTTCTATTTATCTCTGATCTCAAGATGATTTCCTGAGATGATGGTGATGGTGTATTGCAGAGAAAATGTCAGTAACATTGGTTGTACTTAGATAAGCAAATTCTCTGGACACTTTTCTTCCTCCTACTAACAAATCTTTACATTCTCTAAGTATTCTAAATATAATTCTTAATGTCTAAGTTTGCCTCTGACTTAGTATTTACTATCCAATATATAAATGGCATCTTTTCCTTTATCCTTCAGATAAAGTATAGGCTGACTAGCATTTTGTGAAGACATTCTTGCATATTTTAAAGGGTTGCAGCAAATCCCTTTAGCCTTTCATTCATATCATGAGGAGACTACTGTCATAATTTATCAATAAAGGTTGATGTACAGAATAAAAAATTGCTAAACTCTTATAGTTGGACTCTGTAAAGTGCTAAATCACTGATTTCCTAACATTATGGGATGATGCAAAAACACCTTTTCAAGGTTTAACCTGGGTAATACATCAAATGGACAGTCTAGGTCTACACTGACCAATACAGCAGCCACAAAGATATGTGACTATTCAAACCTAAATTTCTTTCATTTAAAATAAAAATTAAATAAAAAATTTATTTCCTCAGTTGCACTAGCCTAATTTCATGTGCTCAAAAGTCTCATGTGGCTAGTGGCTACTATACTGGACAGTGCAGAATTTTATTATCAGAGAAAGATCTACCGGACAGAGCTGGTTTAGAAAGCTAATAATTTGATTCAACTCAAACAGTACAGGTGACTCGTTATATTATATTTATCGCGTCTTATATTTATTAACCCACAAGCAACAGGAGTAGCCTTACTATTTCTCTCAATGTAATTTTTAAAGAATTATTATTTGATTATAGTTGGGACCAACTCCTATACATTGCACAAGACATGCCAAATTCTATCCATCTCAGGGCCTCTTCTTGGTCCATTGGCTCATTCTTCACTTTCTGTCCCAGCTTGAATGTTACTGCCTTAAGAAAGGCCTTCTCTGACCTTTCTAACAAAAATAGGTTTCTGCCATCACCCCCACCCACAGCTACATATATATTAATCTCTGTCTCAGTGCCCTGTTTGTTTCCTTCATAGGATATCATAATTTTAATTAATTCATTCATATCTCTTTCCCTGAAGGAAGACCCTTTGCCTGTCTTATGCATAACTCTGTTCGCAGAGCTTACCTAGCACAGGCATGCACTCAAACTTCATTGAATAAATAAATTAGTGTTTGTTAAATAAGTGAATATATTTGGACTATGACTATTTCCCCCTCCAGAACCAACTCATACCTCTTTGGCACTATGCTTTTATATTTATTACTTCCATCCTTTTTATTCCGGCTTATGCATCTCCTTTTTCTCCCAGCAGACTATTTGTCTCTTAATTTTTAAAAAATTTTAATTATGGGTACAAGGAGTAATAAGTACAAAGAGAATTCTCAAGCTAGAAGAAGAAAATATTTTTAGAAGAGCCTGCAGAGAAAAGAAGCTTATTTTTAATATTCCACTCCATCCCCTCAGCAAGTAACAAGATGACCAAACCACTTTTCTCAGTCTTCAGTACACACACGTACTGGTGTGGCATAGATTACAAAGAAGACTCNGGAGCGCCGCCGCACTTCCCAAGTGGCGCACTGTAGCAGTGCGCCACCGGGCCGGCCCCTTGAAATACTTTTTACTTATATAGAAAACACAAAATAATCAGAGAAAGACAACTAAATTTTACAATAACCCTGAAGGAATCATTAAAGAAACCACGTGTTATTTGAAATAGCTTTAGAAAGTTTTATACAATCAAAAAGAAGGGAACAGATTCTTTAAAATGATGATTGAATTACAAAAGTATAATGAACTGAATATTTAATATATTAAATATACAAGCTACTCAACACATTGGAAGACTCCAACTTTCAGTTTATGCCCACAGAATTTATGCACCTGTATAGTTAATTATCATAAAGGTAAAAAATATTCCCCTAAGAACAATACTCTTCAAAATGGTCATCTTAAGGCAATTCACAAAACTTACTTTGATCCAAAACAAGCCTAAATGATCATTTTATCACATATTTTCTACAAAATTAAGTTTGAAGTTCCAACTTGAAATACAAGATAAACATATCAAACTCTTGTAGCTTTGCTATTCCAATATTAGAAAAAGACTTCATTGAGTATGTCCATTTAATGCAAGTCCTGGCAATTTTATGGTACCTCGTCTAGTATAAGGAGAGGGAGAGGGGTATTTCTTTAGAACTTTATCTTGAAAAATAAAATTAAAAAGTACGAACTTCTTGTATTTCCCAAGCTGATCTTAACTTCACATCACCATGACTTTCACTATATTTGACACACAGAGTTCAAATCATGTTAGAAGATAAGTAGGTAGGAGGAAGGGAATGAGAGGAAGAATATTGTTTCGTTCATTCAACAAATACTTATCAAGCACTTACTGACAAGAACTGTTCTAGGCACCTGGGAAACACAGCTGAACAAAAAGGGCAAACATAAATTTATAAGGGGTTTCTGTTGCTAGAAACAATGATTAAGTAACAGTGACAAAAGATCTGAGCCAGTGCTCCTGGGTCCCACATACCCCTTAATAATGGTTTCTTCCTTTACTACAAAACAAAAAGAAAACAAACCGAAAAAAATAAAAATTCTCTTGAACATTTTCTCAGAAGTCAGAATGTTTCTGGGAGAAAGAATTCCCAATGGATGGACTGCATATGGCCAAGGATATGGGCATTACTGCTAGAAAGCAGATTAATCTCCTCCTCATGCTCCCATATCACCTCACCTCTCTCTACTGCAAACCATGCACTGAAAAGCAAGACCCATGAGGACGGGAGTCCTGAAACAGCAACATGTCCTGAAGATATGGAGGACTCCAGAGGAATCTTAGGCAGTAACAATATGCTACCACTAAAAATAAGAGATAGGAATAAAGATTTGATCATATGTCTACAAGAATAGTGCACATAAGAGAAGAACATGTAATTTGAGAGAATTAAAGGAGCTACAATTTCTCTAAAGAGTACGCTAATTAAGTCAGGAAGATTTGTCCATACTTGGTCTGCTACTCCCAGCCTTTAATTATAATCACAATGTATAACACAGGTGCATCTGAAGAACTGTTTGGAGTCACCGCTGTGATATTCGGTAAATACATCTTTCATAATCAAGCTAGCCATAGCCTCCAACAGATATTCTGCAATACCATTCCCAGAGGTCTTCTTGGACTTTGCAATCTATCTTTCGTTTGAATCCTTCTTTCAGGCTCATGCTATAAGACATTAAGCAGAAGCAAAAACCCTAAGAATATGAGCAAAATTTAGAGGCTCTTGAAGTACAAAAGATTTTCTTTCATTTAACTTATTACAATTCTTAGTTAAGCATGCATAAAAAATAACATAAGAAAAATTATACGGTAATCATAGTGAATAGTGGATGGATAAGTTCAAGACCTTCTGGACTCTGAGTCCTGTCTTTGGAAATAAAAACACAGAACAAAAAGCTAAATGTTGAATATAAGAAACATTTAAAAAATATAACTATAAGGATAAGTATACTCACGCCAACAAAATAAATCATTCCTTTTTAACACCTTAAAAACAATTAAAGTTCTAATTAAAAGATTCATTTCTGCAAAAGCAAAACATTCCTTATTACTTCAGTAGAGAGCCATCACTAGTCTAGGAGCCACTATTTTCCCTTTAATATTCTATAATGCAGGGTCCACCAATAAGCATACCTTGTTGGTTAAAACAATCTTTCAAACACAATATTTAAATTAAAAAAATGACCTGCAAAGAAGAAATATTAAAAACAATGCCATATATCATTTACTATTCGAGTTAGTTTATGATGCTGTCATCATTTATGAGAATTCATAGAGTTAAAGCATACAACTAGATGTATCTTGAGAAATAACATTAAGATGTTTCAAAACTTGAATGAATTCTCATTTTAGAACTCAGACATTTTAACACTGTGTATAATATATAAGCTCCAATTCTGTGGAGAAAAACAAGGTAATTTCT